AGGGGGAGCATGCGTGGCTGCCCGTGGAGGGGCTGCAACTGGCTGTGGCCCTGGAACAGCTGCAGAGTGAGGGCTTCGGAATGCTGCAGACCCCAGGCCAGGTAAGGCTCAGGGAGTGGGGTGGGGGCCTGTGGGCCTGGAGGCAGGGCTGACTGCAGGACATGGGTGGGTCCATTTCCACATTTGCCCAGAGAGGCTGCTGCCCACGCGGGCCAGCACAAAGCCCAGGCACAGACAGCCGGCCCAGTGCTTGAAATGCGGAGGGTGTCAAGGCGGGTCCTCGTTCAGGAACAGGTGACCCTGCTCCTGAGCGGGGCCAGCCAGGGTAAGGGCCGGGGTGCACGAAGGGCCTAGTCCCTACCTGTCCAGGCATTATGAGTGGCGTCTTGAGGCCTCCATACCGCGGAAGCTGTCGGGCCCATTATCCTCATTCCAGGAGGCCTGCCGGCCTCAGATGCGGCTGGGGCTATTTTGGGGAGCTAGGATTTAACCCAACGTGGCATGGAGAGACGGTTGCCACGCTTCTACCAGATTCTACGAGTCGGGAAGTTCTCCAGGATCCAGGGGCCCGGGCCAGGCCCACCCCAAGCAGAGGGGCTGCCTCTGGAGAACAGGAGAGGTGTTATGTGCAGGCCTAGTGCTGGGGGGCTACAGCCAGGAGGGGGAGGAGGGGGCTCATGGCAGGCGAGTCAGAACCAGGGAAGGACAGTGGGCCTGAGGGTGCCCTTCCAGACCTGGCAGGACCGAGCAGAGGCCAGCTGTCTCTGCTCGCTTGGAAGTGGCCCCAGCAAGGAGGCCTGAGGACCAAGCATAGACAGGGATGAACGTGGGACTGCCCTGGGAGCAGTCAGGGTGGCCCGTGCCCAGCCTGTGTGCCCCTGCTTGTATCTGAGCCCTGCTTGCTTTCAAAACCCATTTGGGCCACCTGGGTCGTCCCAGCCGCCCTGCCCCTTCCCATCTCTGCTCAAGCATTGCCGCCGGGCCCACCTCACCTTGTGGTAGGGGGCAAGCCTCGGGTCAGGCTCTGGGGGAGACTCTGAGCAATGCCCAAGCCCAGCTCGGTGGTCCCCGAAGGCCACTCTTGGAAGGAAAAACCTTTTCAGGGGACAGCCCAGGGTGGCTCCACAGAGGGCTTGCTGCCATTGTAGGCAGGGTTGCCCTGGAGCCCGGCGGGCACTCACCAGCAGCGGCTCTGGGCTTGGGCCCGGCAAGGGGGTTCTGCCGCTTCCCCGCCGCTGCTGTGGACCCCTGCTTCTTCCTGTTCATTCTCCTGGGGCTGCAGGGAGGGTCTTCTCAGAGCAGCAAGGGCAGGTGCAGCTGGGACAGCATGGCGCACTGCCCTGGGCCTGGAGGATGGTCCCCGTGCACTCAGTGTCCCAGCCAGCCTCCTGGTCCACCTGCCCTGGGTATTGAGCTCTTGCGCAGCTTGACCTGGGACGAGTGGCAAGGACGCCTGCCAGTCCTCTCCACCCTGGGCTTAGCCCACCCTGCTGGGACCCCAGGTCCATGTCCCTCCCCAGACCACTAGGTTGCCCGCGGGCTGCCTCTGTCCTGTGCCCGAGCATGCAGGAACACCCTCTGCAGCCCTCAAGTCACTCCTTGGCCTCGGAGCCTGGCCCCTTCCCCCTTCAGATCCTCTCTGACCCTGGTGGTCCCGGAAGCCTCACCTCTCCTCAACCCATGCAGCTGACCTGAGTGCATTTCCCCTTGGAGGCCTCCCTGCTGGGGCTGGGGTCCCTCACCTGTGCTCCGCCGTGACGGCACCGTGCTGCTGAGTGTCGGCGGGGTTGGAGTGACCTTAGAAACCAGCACACCAGGTCACCAGTGGCAACGGTGATGAGGAAGGGCTCTCCAAGGCGGTGGGAGGGGTAGGGTGTGCTGGCTGCAGAGGAGGTGCAGAGCAGGGCGGGCCTTGGGGAGGGGTCTCGGCAGAACATGGGGAGGGATCGGGCACCTAGAGGCAGCTAAGGGCCTGCCGCAAGCTGGTGACATGTGTGCCAGCTGAGGAGCTGGGGGAGCAGTCCGTGCACCGGCCCAGCTGCGGGGTCCCAGTCGCGGGCGTGAGGCAGTCTGAGCAGTGGGTCTCCCACCTGTGTGCCTCTGATTGGCACACACAGGCTTGCGTGCTTGTAGGGCTGCGTGCATGGGGTGGGGCACCTCGAGCCCACGGGCATGGGCTCCCGTGTGTCTGTGGTCCCAGGGGCATGGCGGGGGTGGGGGTGCCCTCTGTGTAAGTGTGGGTGTCAGCCGGAGGCAGAGTCAGTGGGGGGAGGAGGGCCGCTGTCACAGGATCCCTGAGTGCCTATGGGTCCAGGTATTTGTGAGCATCTGTGTGTGTGAAAGTGGTGGGTGTCTGGGGGGCCCTGTGTGTGGGCAGGGTCTCCTATGCGTGTGGGCATGGGTGTGATGAGTAACAGTGTCGAGGGGATCCCCTGTCCTCGCAGGGTCCCTGGGCCCCGCCACCCTGGTCCCGGTCCCGTCCCACGGCCTCACCTGTCTCACCTGCCTCCCCCCACTCGCCCGGGAGGTCAGAAGCCCCGCCCCTCGCGTCGGGATTGCTGGTTTCCTAGCGACTGAGCCGGAACTTGCGATCACCCCGACTTCCGGGGCGAGGGTCAGGGGTCAGACGTGGGGACTTGGAGCCTCGGGTTAACGATGGGCGTCTGGGGGCTCGGGGTCCTCGAAGTAGGGGCCTTAGTGGTCTCCGACGGCGCTGGGCCAGGGTCCCGGAGCGCGGCTCCAGGCCCGGGCGAGGCCGAGCCCGGGCGGGGGCGGG